GCTCCAACTCTAGAAGCAAGGGAGCCAAGCTGGTCCTGGATCTGCCCAATCTGAGACTGAAGCTGGTTCAGTCCAGGAAATACAGTAGATCCACTAGTAGTAACAGGAGTTTCTGCAACAGCCGCAGTACGAGAAGAACCAGTTCCAGATAAACGGTTCCTAGAAATTTTTTGCTTTAGTTTAGGATGAAGTTTGAAGCAATGAACCTTAACATGTCCAACCCCTCCACAATGGTGACAAATAATCTGTCCTCCAGAAGCTCGTGATCCAAAGTTAGCTGCAAAAGCCATGCTATCCCCAGCAGGCTCAGACACTGGTAGAGGAACAAGTGAGGGCTGAATTAAACGGTGCCTGCGTGCTTCACCATCAACAGTAGCAAAGGCTTCCAACAGGGATGACATTGGTGATGCATTCAAGATCTGAGACTTTAGTGGTTCAAATTCTGGGCGTAATCCCATCAAAAACTGATAGGTATGCTGACGATCAAGACGTTTAACAAGAAGAGAGGCTGCCTCGGAAGGAAATTCACTGAGAGGCTCATATTGAGCTAATTCCTCCCAGCGAGATCTCAAATACCCAAAAGAATCAGCTACAGACAAATTCAGGCCTTCCTGCGAAGCCTTAGCAATATCTTGGTATAATTCAAAAATACGAGCATCATTCCTAGAATGAGCATACATTTGATTCAAAGTAGTCCACAAGTCATTAACAGAGTCATAAAACATGAATATATTATATATGCGTTCCTCCATAGAATTAAACATCCATCCTAAAATGGTGCAATTGTCCATATCCCACTGAGCATATTTAGGATCTTTAATATCTGGCATCTTTTCAGTACCTAAAATCCACCCTGATTTGCCTTTTCCACCAACATAGAGGCGGAGGGAACAAGCCCAGGATGCAAAATTACGGCCATTCAACAGCACACTAGTAACTCGTTGAGCCGGTGTGTGTTGCACCAAAAAGAGAGTTCCTTTATTATTACTTGATTCAGCCATAATATTAAATAGAACAATTCAACAGATTACCAATAATTTCAAATAAAGGAGGAATAAATCTGATTTTGATCAAACCAAGAAGCCGGAGATACGTCGGTTTAATCCGAAAATGCTGCCGAATATCCTGGCAGCCCCAAAAAATTACAAACACGTCTTCTGACCCTTAGTGCATGAAAAAGACTAAAGGAATACCTCTACAGGGGTCGAACCTAGAGGAGATTGGCTCTCCCTAGGACTGTCGCAACAGCGGCCTAAAAAAGAGAGAGGGTCTGTGAAGAAAAGGAAAAAAAAGAAATAGGGAAGGGGCTGTGACGAGATAGAGAAAAAGATTAAAAGAGGCGGTGAAAGAGAGGGGGGGAGGTGTAGGTTTGAGGCTCTGATACCAAAAAGTAACTTAGTAAAATTGGTGTTCTCAATTTGAGAGCCTGACTATCATTATATACAAGAGGAAAATTACAAATATGGAAAGAGAATAAAATCAAATCAAAATAAAGAGAATAAAATAAAATCAGAATAAAAATAAAATCCCTAAATAGTATCCTATATTGAAGACCCAATAAATCTGCCACAATCATTGAGTCAACTTATGGATATGATTTCCAACAATTTCTAATTTGTTTTAATTAGTTTATTTCATTAAGTCTCTAATTTTTTAACATTATTTTATTTCATTTTTAATTTAGTCAATTTAATAAGATTTGGTCAAAACTGTGTCAAACCTACTTGGTGACCTGATTACACAAAGCAACATCCCAGAGCCTTTTTTAAGGCTGTCCACCGTTCATTCAGCAAATTCCAACTCTTTTTCAACTTCTATTAATCTATCTCAGAACAACACCAGATTTTGTATAGTTATTTGACTACACGTAATGAATCTAATAATGCAAAAATCACATAAAAATTCTATATGATTTGGCTTAATTTTAGCCCTAAAGCTATTGTATTGGCCATGGTGATAAACTGGACTCTTCTTTGGTTCCGGCTCAGATTCTTGCCTTAAATTTACTTATCTATCACTCCCGAAATTAATTCAAAGTACTCCGTTAGGATTCTTCCTTATAAAACGTATATATTGTTCCAAAAATCATTTCAAAAATTTCATCATGTTAGCTGAATTTTAATGTGGAACCATGGGGTTACCTATATTACAAACCTGATCTCTTCCTCTTAACTTTCACTTTATAATCCATACCTATGTGTTTAATATGATATGTGCATCTTCAATCTAATCCACATCTTTCTCCATTAATGTAATGTATAGACATTGAACGTAGCCCCCCCCTCTTTCTTTTTCTTCACTGATATTCAATGTGAATTTTTTCACTCAACCAAAACTGAAGTTATACAGCTTGTACACAAGTAGTATAATCTTTGTTTGTGTGCATTGAACATAGCCCCCCTCTCTTTCTTTTTCTTCACTGATATTCAATGTGAATTTTTTCACTCAACCAAAACTAAAGTTATACAGCTTGTACACAAGTAGTATAATCTTTGTTTTGCGTGTATGGACACAGTTCTTGCATATGAGCATACATAGTTTTGCATATAATTCTATCAAACAGTGTTAAATGATACTGAAAAGTGAAACCAAGTAGGGAAAAATAGTCATATATTGAAATAAAGCAAGAATTTACTTGCCTTGTATTGCTCATTTCCAATCCGACTGTAACCTGATGGCTTCTCCCCTGTCTTGCAAATCTCTCTTTTTTCCTTTTATATTTCATGTCTCTCTCTCTCTCTCTCTTTCTACATTTTTTTCCCCAGCCAATAGCTTTTAAAGGAATATTAGGAGTAATGTGAGATATAATGTGGGAATCAGTTTCTTCAAATGGGGGACTAAACATGGAATTATACAGAGCAATCGTTGAATATGATAAGGTTTATTCTATTCCAAAATTGAGTTTTTAAATTTAAATTAAATATCTCAAGATAAGTAAATATATTATATATTTATTAACACACACACACACACACATATATTTATCACTTCACCTTTTTTTTCTTTTTTCTTTTTGATAAGTAAGACAATTGTATAGAAGCGCTCAAAAGGGGAGTGAAGCCCAAAAGAATTATTTTGCATTCTAACCCCCTTAAATAAATTTAGTCCTTGAAATTTGTCCATCTATAAGCAGAACTTATTGACAACCAACAAACTCTCCACTACACTTCAATGTGCGCTCTAGTCAAGTCCAAATATATTAATTTGCTAACCGAAGATTATTAAAGAGGCTCAATCTAGGTATGCATTGATCCCAGGAACCTCCTGAACTCAGCTACAAGGAATACTAGTTAATCCACCACTATTGTTTACTTGACAACATCATACTCTCTATAGAAGAAGTAGGGACGAGAACAGAACGTGCTTTTTAGACACCTGTTGTAATTTCATTCCTCTAACAAATAACCACCAAGCAACATCATTTCAATCATTCACTTAATTGGTCTTCCTAATTTCATTAATCCTTACAAGTCAATTTTTTTAAAGTTCTAACTTAAGCTCTACATAACATCTCTATATTTTCAGATTTCTCTTAGCCTAAGCTCCGATATCCCCAATGGATCTAACATCTAGGCTCTGATACCAAATTGTCATGTCTTCAAATTCGAATATAAAGACATCTTGTCTCGTACCTAAATATCGTGCGTGAACTAATAGATCTTCTCTCCAAATTAAATCCAATTCATCAACCTCAGTGGAATAAAAAAAAAAAAAAAACTCAAAAATAATCATTGATGGGCTATCCAAATCAGTGTAAATTTACATCATACAAAAATCTCTCAAATACGTTAGAAAATTAAACAAAACTATGGATTGCTCTTGGTTTTCACCAACCAACACTCTACAACCATCAATTTCCTAGAAATTTTACCAAAGGGTTGAGCTCAAAAGCTCGTCAAGATCATTTCTGAACAGGTATCAATCTTACCATACCTTAGTAATAACTGTGTAATTAAACATTATCACAAAATATCATATTTACTGAACACGTGCTTTTCATTAATTTGTCCACTTCTATATTCTCTTCTGATAAAATTTTAAGGTAATCTACTTGATTAACTATTAAATTTGATTCTTAACTTTTAGTTAGTATATTTATTTTTCAATTTCTTAATTAAGAGAATGCATCCAAATTTCAGGTCAGTAATACATCCAACCTCTTAGGTAAGGAACATGTCCAACCTTTCATTATGGTAAGGAACATATCCACCCTTTCAAACATATTAGATAAGGAACGTATCCATCCTCTATGTAAAATGTACTCAACATTAGGTAAGGAACATATCCAACCTTTGAGGAAACATCAGTTGTTCCTTCAAATACTCAATTCCTAAAATCTTCTTAATTAATTTAGTTTAATAACAATTTTAATCATATTAATTTATTTGTTTCATTTTTCTATAATTTAATATGATTTTTACTACTTCCTTCAATTTAGTCTTAATCCTCTAAAGGTATTTTCATTATTTCATTTCATTTTTATTTTAATCCATTAAACAATATTTGGTCAAAACAGGGTAGAACCTACTTTGTGACATGAGCACACACAGCGACATCCCAGAGACTTTCTCAAGGCTGCCCACTATTTATTCAGCAAATTAAGTGTGGAGCATGCATGGATTTATTAGAAAAATAGGAAAGAAAAAAATGACAAATGACGAAACTTATTTTGCATTTTTAATTTTTATTTTATTATTATTATTATCATTATTATTTTTTATATAGAACATTCATTTTCCATTTTTCTACTCTTAAGTAATGAATAATTATAAAACAGGAAAATGCTCTAAGTGGATATTTCATTGGATTAAACTATCATAGTAGCACTTCTCAGCCAGTGTGAAGCATTCTTCTCTTTTGAGATTTCTAATAGAACTCATCATTCATCATTTTTATGTCTACAGCATGGTTTAAGAAACTGCCTGATTTCTTAGCAAGGAAATTCAAACATTTACATTATTATTACTTTGCTGAACTGTCATTATTTATGGCATTTGCAGGTATATATAAAGGCAACTGGAGAGAAGAGTGCAGAGATGGTAACCGATGAAGGAGCTATTTATGTTACATCAAACAGAGGCTACAACTGGAGAGCTGCTGTACAGGAGACTGTTTCTGCTACTCTTAATCGGTGACTATCTAACAAATTATAAAAGTTAACAATATCTTCAAAATTGTTGGGGCAAACAATCTAATAAATAAGAATATACAATAAATAATAATTTCTCAAACTAAAACAAATAATGAAATTAAACACATAATTTCAAATCAAGGTGTATAGGCACGTGGTCGCCTCTAGAAGATAGTTGAAGCCTCTCCTAGGTGCAATTACAAAATCAAAATGATAATACTCTCTTCGGAATTAAACTAAGCAATAACAATCTCTATGTCCGTAGAGTAGCAGTCTCTACGAATCCTTGTATTCATCTCCATCCAGTTATTCGTCCAAAAGATAACATAATTTTGAGAAATGAAATGTAAATTCAAAGACGTAAATTTCCATCTTTCAGAATTCCAAAGAAAATTTTTTCCTTCAAAAATAAATTTAGAATTGAAAGAAAATCATATCAATCATGTAGCAAGTGTAGAGGTTAGAAATGTTATGGATTCAGAATTCCTAGAATTCTCATACGTTACTAGAATTTGGTCGGAATGCTAATTCTGTTATTAGAACGTTTGTCAGAATCTCGCGGGAATTTTGGGTTTGTTTGCTAGAAACTTCATTGGATTCTGGACATGTCATTGGAAACTTCATCGAAGCTTCGGTGGAATTTCACCGGACTTGGTTCCTCACTCACTATTTTTCTCCTCAATGTCTGAATGTGCCTTGTATAGTCTCACCATAAGGCGTTTTTATAGGCCCCTTGTTCATGAGTTATAAAAGAATGGATCCAATTATGTAAAACCAAAAGAGCCGTCGCATTAGTTACAAGCCACCTATTAGCAACCATGCTGATTTTGACAATCCAAATTGCTTCATCGAGCAACCCATCAGACACATGAGATGGAATGCTTAAGATCAGTTGATCATGTTACCAATCAAGGAAGATGATCGGTCACGATTGGAAGTGAAAAAATTGCCTTTCTTGTAAACGTGTGTGACAAAATGAAACTGCAAGTTTCCTTCTGCCAACTAACCTACTTGTTATTTGTGTCATAAAATAGGAAAATAAGATATTTAAAGACATTTTAGGAGATTTTATAAAAGGAAATATTTATATTTTGAAACACGTTCCAACGTGTCTAAAGTTGTTATCATGAAGTGCATAGTTCTCTTAAATGAAGCTTTCATTGGATGGGTTTAGATCCTAAAAATGGTGTGAATACTAATTAAAAACTACTATTATCATAATCACCATTAATTGTCAGCATCATATAAATGTAATTGTCATAATCATTCTCACCATTGTTTAAGTCTATTCAAACCACTAAGACTAGACTATGCAAATTTTGTTACATTCTATCTATTACTATATCTTAGCTTTATATCTTCAAAAAAAATCTCCAACCCTCAATATACTTCTCTTTGTTGTCCCCCATAGCCTCTGTGGTTCTCTTCAATGAAGTACCATTTTTCTCAAATGTAGAGCTATTTTTCTTTGTCAAAATTGAGCAAGATTTGTTGCCATTCTAGATGTTAAAATGACTTCAAGATTCCACTGTACATCTTAATTTCATGTTATTTCAAAGTTCTGCATTTCATACAGTGATACAGCCAAGATCCTCCTCTTAATATTTTTCTCTGATTTTCGTATTTTGTTTTAGAACCAAGAGCAGTCACTATGTGCAAAAGTAATGCCAAAAGCTAGGTTTATATCTAGTCTTCCCTCCCAACACTCCATGTAGGCGATACATATACTGGTAATGCATTTTTATGCATTTTAATCAACTACGTAATACCTATACCTCATTTTATCCATCCGTTAAAGTTTTCAGCTTTGATGGGTATATTGTGTCACTTGCCTGCATTCCAAGTTTGCTAGTTATTATTTTTCACCTCTCTGGTGGAAAGCTGATTGCAAGGGAGGTACTTACACAGTGCTGCATGTTATCATTTATTTAATATGAGGTTTTCTCTGTTTAAGAATAAGAATGATCCTAGGAGAAGCATTAGATTTGCTTTTTGGGCTCATCAGTCTTTGTTGTCTTTGATTCTGTTTCATTAAAAATTCCATTGAGGGAATTTTAAAAAATTACACTTTTTATTCATAATATAGTTGACTTCTTCTTCCCTATAGAATTAGTCACTCTTAGTTTTGGTGGACTTGCTTCAGGTGTAGCAGTCCTAATACAAAGTCCAGTTTGAATGATAGTTAATATTTTCATTTTTACTATTATATGTTTTCAATTATTGGTAAATGCATTGCATTAGATGTCAATCAAGAAAAGGTAGGGAAGTAAGTTAACCTACAAAAAGTGGGGCCAGTAATGAGTGAAATTTATGTTATGGTAGTTGGTTTGTTTCAAAAGTTTTAAGAATAATATTGGCATACTTCATTGCTCTTGCAGAACAGTTTCAAGTGGTATTAGTGGTGCTAGTTACTATACAGGCACTTTCAATACTGTTAATCGCTCCCCCGAAGGAAATTATGTTGCTGTTTCAAGCCGCGGCAACTTCTACTTGACTTGGGAGCCAGGACAAGTAAGGTTCTTTCTTTACTTGTAATCTTATCATGCAGAGCTGATACGAGTCATGGAGGCTTGCCTGCCTTTGAGCATTTATTTTAAGGCATATTTAATATTTCTTTTGATGCACCTTTATAATTATTATCATATATTGTCACAACTTCATTTGATTAATGTTGGTAGTAGAAGTATTGTGCTCCATTCATTGTCCTTTGTGCTTAGGTTACTTTCGGCGCAATTATGGTAGGGGATCCTTGAATAAGATTTAATTTTAGTCTGTTTCAGTGATTCCTTATAGTTTGGATTCAATCACAATCACAGAAACATGAAATTAAATAGAGAGCAGAGGCACAGATTTTAACGTGGAAAACCCTAAATAGGAAAAAACCACGAGAATCAAGTCTAGCCATGAATAATCTACTATGAGAAAAGGTTGTAAGTTTGACAGTTCCAACACCCCAAATCTCCTAGTTACCTCTTGACACAAACCGTAGCCGAATTCCCACTTATAGTCTTCCGGCCCTTTATCCTCTCCATCAACAGATTTTGCTCGATGCAATATACTTCTCCATGGTTGTTCAAATCTTCGCTCCCTGCAATCTAATAGATTGATTGATTTCCCTCTGTAGTCTGATGAACTTTTCCTTGTTGAATACTCGATGTGTGATTAATTCTAAAGAAAACCACTGATTGAGTAAACAAATAATCTCTCTCTCAAGAACTTTTCTCTCTCGATGACTAGAGGCATGCGTCATTATGTCCATACCCTAGATTGACCATAAGCCCATTTTTATAGCCAATATAGATAGCACATATGTTTTGATAAGTTGAATCCAATTAAAAATAAACTGCCGCTGGATTCAATTGATCAAGTCATTGATAGACTCCTACTGAGAAGCTCTTGATCGGTCAAGCCATTGATTGAGGCTTGTTGGAATTCAATAAAAACTTTTTGGGAAAATTTGAACGATTCACCTATCAATCGAAGTCTACTTGGGAGCCCTTCCATCATTTATCAATGGACAAAAATCAATACTCTGACAATTCATTTTTCAAAAGCAAGTTTAAACTAACATTTGAGACTCAAGACTTTCTGGGAAAAAAGAAAAAGAAAAACATTTTGAGCCTCACCAAGATAATAATAATAAAAAACTAGCTTATCTAATTCAAAAGTCATGTACTTGTGCCCTATTTATGTGATTGAGCATGCAGAAATCCCTCTGTTTTCTTTGCGAATCTTTATCTGTATAGTCTTCAATGTTTGTACTCGTATGACTCATGAAACTTTGAGACAATACAACCAAGGTTCTTAGTTGAAAATTGCCTAACACCTGACTCATATACCTAAGAACGCCAATGAAGGGCTGCAATTTGTGCAATTGAGGACCAGTGATGCAGCAGCATGCCATGTGTCCCACATGACAAGGGCATCTTTGTAACTTTTAGGAGCCTTCACTATGCATAGAAGGTGCTGTAGCCACTAACTATTGCATATCAGTTACGATATTTTCAAAGAAAGAAGAATATGAATTATTCCCTCACTCCAAATCAATCAAAAGAATTGTGCTACTGGAGTGCCTCAATTATCATTGACTGATTAGGATTCCTCAACACAGGAATAGATCTGAGTCTCACTCAGATCTTCATTGTGGATTAGGAATTATGTGTAGTGTGGTGAATCTCATCATGTCTTGTGCTGATTGAATCACTCCCTGTACTGTAGCAGAATATTTCATATTCTTCTTTCTTTAATAGATTGCTAAAGCAATTTGGATCTCTTGATTATTTTATTTTTTTACTTATGTTGAATATTTTTCATGATGTTAATTCAATTATGGGTTTTATTTTTGTTGTGCTGTAATCTCAATTTCCCTACAGCTTCATGAACTTCTTTGTTGTCTAATATAGGAGCCTTCTGTTTCACTTTGAATTTCCTTAAACTATGGCTAATAGTTTACATGACCTATGTGTTAGTAATGTATTGAATGTGGGGGGTAACATTTAGCCACTGATAAGTGGTAACTATATGTGATTTCAGGCATTTTGGCAGCCACATAACCGGGCAGTTGCAAGAAGAATTCAGAACATGGGATGGAGAGCTGATGGTGGTCTTTGGCTTCTTGTACGTGGTGGGGGACTTTATCTCAGCAAAGGCACAGGGGTAGGTAGACCTGAAAATATATTCAAGTGTGTCGAATATTAGAATATGCATGTTTATATTCTATTAGAGAAATATGATTCATTGCTTAGTTTAATGGTAAAACTAAAATCTTGGGCTGAGCTGTGTGAGGACTGAGGTTTGATTTTGAAGTAGCCACTTAGTGCAAAAATAATACCAAGAATGCCAATCTTCCCCTCCTAGGAACCCATGTAGGCAAGGCATGTACTGGTAATGCCCTTTACATTCTCTCAAAGCAATCTTTTCAACATGCGTGAAAGGAATTGAATAACTTAGGGTTAGATGTGATTTATGGCTCTTCGGTAGCAAGAAAATTCTCGTACTTAACCAAAGGAACCATGCATCCGTGTTCCACGTTTGACGGAGAGAGGTATAAACTCTGTGGCACATATATAAAGGAAAACTGCTCTGGGAAGACTAGTAATTTGACACATTATTTTGCTTATAAAAGTGTTAATGAGTCTATATCAAGCAACAGTAACATTTATTCTATTTAAGAAAAATAAAATTCTGAAAACATTTTCAATACTGACCAATATACCTTTTCACATATACCTCCTGTCTATTAAAAAAATCAATGAAGCTTTCAAGTTATCTGATCAATCCAGCCTGATTGATTGACACGTCTGACCCCCATCTAAGAAAAATGGCAGTGTCCCTATGGAATTATTTTGTCTAAGATGAGACTTGACGTAGACAAATAAACTTCCAATTTATTTTTTGCTACCAGGAAAAGCTTATAGTTCCACCTTTTCTTAATTTACGGCGAAAAATATGGCATGAGATTTCAGAAATTGATTTACTGCAATATTTTAGGAGAATGATTAAAGGATCCCTCCAAGGCTCCAATCCTGTTATATACGATTTATCGGCATGGACACAGAGTGCTGTATTGCTGTCATGAGACATAGACACTGGACTCAAAACAAAACCCAGAAATTCTGATATGGAGACAAAGCTATATCTGTGCTTGTATATTTACTGTACTGAACCAAATAGTTTTTGTATGCTCAAGTTTTTCTGTCTGCAGAGTAACTATAAAGATTAAAGCAATCCTGAAAGCAGTAAACATTCAACGAGGTCCATAAATTGGGGCATGTACCCTTTTACCTGTTTGCCTTCTTTAAGAGGATTAAGGTAGACTCATTCGTAAGTGCCAATTTGGTATTGGACATCGGTGTTGTGTCATCAAGTTGCTAACACAGCAATTTTGACCAAAAGAAATGCCCTACATATAACAGCTCCGTGTGCATTATTATCCATATTAAACATAGGTTAACAGATTTCTAGTGTAGATTATATTGGTTAATGTTGAGACTAGAGAGAGAGAGAGAGAGAGAGATAACACAGTGGATACATAATGTGTATATTATTCATATCAAACATACAGGTCTCAGCTAATTACACAATGACCCTACCAACTATATGTAATTACATAATGACCCAAAATATTCTAACACTCCCCCTAAAGCTGGAGAGTATATATTAAGTAATCCCAGCTTGGAACAGATAGTCCTTAACCGATTATGACCCAATGCTTTGGTAAACATATCAGCTAACTGATCTTCAGACTTCACAAATGGAGTAGAGATGCTCCCACTTAATATTTTTCCTCGAATGAAGTGACAATCAACTTCAATATGTTTGGTCCTCTTATGAAACACAGGATTTGATGCAATGTGAACGGCTGCTTGATTATCACAGAACAATAGAGTAGGAGTTTCAACTGTTAACTTAGAAAATGTTGTATCCAAGTCAACTCACTAGTTGTATGGGCCATTGCCCTGTACTCAGCTTCAGCATTAGATTGAGCTACCACCGTTTGCTTTTTACTTTTCCATGTAACAAGATTTCCTCCTACAAATGTGCAGTAGCCTGTAGTAGATCGCCTGTCTGAAGGAGAACCAGCTCAGTCAGTATCTAAAAAACCTTCCACCCTGAGATGACCATTTGATTTATATAGTAACCCAAAACCTGGAGCTTGCTTGAGATATCGGATAATCCGAAGAACAGCAACCCAATGTGGCATTCTAGGAGCTCCCATGAACTGACTTACAACACTAACTGCATATGAAATATCAGGTCGAGTGATAGTGAGATAAATTAATTTCCTAACAAGGCGACGAAATCTGCCCGGGTCATTAAATAGATCACCCTCATCAGACACAAGTTTTGTATTTGAATCCATAGGAGCATCAACTGGACGACCACCCAACATACTTGTTTCTTCTAACAAGTCCAACACATATTTGCGTTGAGACAAACTTATACCCTTCATGGATCTAGCAACTTCAATACCCAAGAAATACCTAAGTTTACCCAAGTCTTTAGTATGGGATCGATTTTGCAGAAACAACTTCAACTTAGCAATGCCTTCAGAATCATCACCCGTGATCACAATATCATCTACATACACCACAAGAAAAATGAAGGCAGCTTTAGTGCGCTGGTGAAATACCGAATGATCGGTCTGGCATCTGTTAAGACCAAATTCTAATGCCGCCTCAGAGAATTTTCCAAACCAAGCCCGTGGAGGTTGTTTCAATCCATACAGGGCCTTTTTAAGGAGACAAACAGTGTGACGATACTCCCCCTGAGCAACAAACCCAGGTGGTTGCTCCATATAAACTTCTTCAACTAAGTCACCATCCAAGAAGGCATTCTTGACATCTAATTGAAACAAAGGCCAGTGACAATTGGTAGCAATGGAAATAAGTACCCGAATAGAAGAAATCTTAGCAACAGGAGAAAAGGTCTCATCGTAGTCTATACCATAAGTCTGAGTGTACCCTTTTGCCACCAGACGAGCCTTCAACCGCTCAATAGACCCATCGTGAAGGTATTTAACAGTATAGACTCACTTACAACCAACCGTTTTGGAGCCCGGAGGTAAGGGAACAAGATCCCAAGTCCGATTACGGTGCAGGGCATCCATTTCATCTACTATGGCGTTACGCCAATCCGAATTAGAAAGAGCATCCTGCAAAGTCTTGGGAACAAAGGTAGCAGACATTTTGGATAAAAAACAAGATAAAGAGGAGGAAATATTATGGTAGGAGACAAAGTTAGAAATGGGATGTGCAGTAACAAACGACCGAATACCTTTACGGAGAGCAATGGGCAAATCATCAGGTAAAGGCGGCGGATCCGAAGACTTTGAAGGAGATGGAGGAAGCGAAGTAGGCGGTCGAGGTCGTTGAGTATAAACCTGCAAGGGGACAACAGAGCGAGGAGGTGGGGAAGCAGGAAGCAGAGAGGAAACAGTTGGCATAGGTAGCGCTAGAGTAATATCAAGAGGGGTAGTAGAATCAGAAAAAAATGGGAGACTCAGAAAAGGAGACATCAGCACTAGTGAAATAGCGCTGAAAATGAGGATTGTAGCAACGATAACCCTTCTGAGGGCGAGAATACCCAAGAAAAACACACTTAGTGGCACGGGGGTCGAGTTTGTCAAGACCGGGCCCAAGGTTATGGACATAACACACACATCCAAAGACCCGAGGAGTAAGATTAAACGATGCGGAGTCGGGAAATAGAACAGAATGAGGAGACTGCCCTTTTAACACTGACGAAGGCATCCGATTAATAAGATGACAGGCTGTAAGAACAACATCACTCCAAAAACGTTTGGGAACAAGCATATGGAATAAAAGGGCACGACATACTTCGAGGAGATGACGATTTTTACGTTCAGCTACTCCATTTTGTTGAGGAGTATAAGTACAAGATGATTGATGAATGATGCCTTTAGAATGAAAATAAGTCTCAACGGGTCTGAGAAATATTCTTTGGCATTGTCAGAACGTAAAACTTTAATGGAATATCCAAATTGAGTTTTGATTTCTTTGCGAAATATTTGAAAAATAGAGAATAACTCAGAACGATTTTTCATTAAAAACAACCAAGTCATACGAGAATGATCATCCACAAAAGTCACAAAATAACGAAATCCATTAAGAGAAATATGTTTTATTGGGCCCCATACATCTGAATGAATTAACTGAAAAGGACTAGCAACATGATTGGTAGCTCTCGGTTTGAAAGGTACACGACAATGCTTACTAAACTGACATGCTTCACAAGGCATGGACTCAACACGACTAAGACTAAGACTGGGGACTTGACGCTGCAAAACTGATAAGGATGGGTGGCTGAGACGACAGTGCCACTGGAAAGGAGACAAAGATGATTGAAGAGCCGTGGGAGTTGGCCCAATATCAAAGTAATACAAGTCACCTACTTCATGTCCCGTACCAATCTTCTTCATCGTCTTGAGATCCTGAAAAATACAACACGAGGGATAAAATGTAATGAAGCAATTAAGAGATTTAGTAATTTGACTAATGGACATCAAATTAAAAGGGAATTGAGGAATAAATAATACAGAGGAAAGGGACATAGAGGACGTGAGTTGGGTGGTTCCCACACCCAAAACTTTAGTGGAGGAGCCATTAGCAAGAGTAACACTTTGTGATGAAGAAACAGACTGAAAATCAGATAAGAGATGAGAACTACTAGTCATGTGATCGGATGCGCCAGAGTCAAGAATCCAGGGACTTTGACGAGAGGATAAGAGACATGCAGGTGCACTACCTGATTGGGCAAAGGAAACCATGGAAGATGAGGTGGAAGGCTGTTGTTGAGACATAAACTGAGCATACTCATCGCGGGAAACTGTCATGGTGACCATAGCAGGCTCAACAGCCACTTGTGGAGCAGCCACTTGTGAAGCATTTGGTGTGGCAGAGAAAGAAGAATCCCCTTCATTAGAGGTTACCTGATGTGCATAGGAAGAAGGTGGTGGTTTCCCATGAAGATCCCAACAGTAATTGACAGTGTGATTAGTAAAACCACAGTGAGTGCAGAGTTTTGAGTCTCTGCCTCTACCTCTGCCACGACCACGACCACGACCATGGGTAAACCGGCTGCCACCGCAACTAATGCAGAACATTCACTACTAGGAGGAGCAGTGACACCACTTAAAGCACTCCCAGAAGCACCACTAGATAGAGTAGCACGCTGGAGTTTGGACAACATATCAGGAAGAGAGGGAAGTGTAGGGCTACCCAAAATCTGTGCACGAACTGATTCATATTCAGGTGATAACCCCGTGAGAAACCGAATAGCATTAAAATCCTCACGTTGGTGTTGCATGCTCTTTACATCAGAGGTGATAGGCTGATACAAGTTCATTTCTTCATATATTCCCATTGACTGGGAGAAGTATTCTGCAAGACTATGAGTACCTTGCCGGAGGTCAAAGAATTGTCTGCACACCTCATAAATTCTGGTGATATTACTAGTATCTGAATATTGCTGTTGGAGGCGATTCCATATCTCCTTGGCAGTATCCAAATACAACAGGTGGGAGCTGATATCTTGTTCAATACAATTCAGCATTAAGGAAATGATCTGAGCATCCCTTTGGTCCCATGAACTGAAATCTGCATCACTTTCTTTAGGCTTATCCTTAACCAAATGAGAGCCAAAGCCTTTGGCTTTCAGAAAAATAGCTACGGACTTGGCCCATAAAATATAGTTCTTCCCATTGAACTTAACAGAAGTCATGGGAGGATTGAAAGAAGTAGAAGAAAACAGGTTGGAACCCGCAGCAGCCATGGAGAAGGACAAACAAAGAAGAAAAACCGAACCTGGGGAAAAAAAAACTGAATCCGGATCTGGGCAGGTGGGCCGTATCTGGGTAAACGGGTTTGGATCTGGACAAACAGGCCAAATCAAAACCAATTCTCTGCTATTCCGGTTTTAGTAATCCAAGGTTGGAATAACTTCACGCCTGCAGCCAAACACCACTCTTCTCCTTCACAATCAGCGCCGGCAAGAACCAGATCTATGCCACTGACCATAAACTCCAATCACCCAAGGTTCGCAATGAAGAATCAAGGCTAGTACACACCCTAGCCCTTGCAGCGGTGACGACGGCAACCCAACACAAGCGGCGATTTAACAAACAAGCAGAGAGGGTTCGCGATGATGCAACCTCTGCAACTTGCGACAGCCAAGGCAGCCTCGGCCTACAAAACGAAGGGCTTCAGATTTGAGAACGACAGACAAGAAGCTTCAAACCTCCGACAGCTTCAAACCTCCAATCGCCAAACCAGAAGACGGCCAAACCTGTCGCGAAAAACAGAATCAACTTCGATCTCGATTCTAATTTGTAGAAGAACACCACAGATGCAATCACAACCATAATCTTAGTTTTCCCATTGTTTCGTACCGCTCTGATACCATGTTGAGACTAGAGAGAGAGAGAGAGAGAGATAACATAGTGGATACATAATGTGTATATTATTCATATCAAACCCTACTACAGTGGCTTATATAGAGTACAGGTCTCAGCTAATTACACAATGACCCTACCAACTATATGTAATTACATAATGACCCAAAATATTCTAACAGTTAAATATATATCTACATAAGAAGCCCAACTACAAATCCATTAGAGAAATCTCCAGAGCATCTCCCAGCTATCATAAATCAAATAGTCATTCAACGCCAACCCTAGGTCACTCCCATTGAATTGGGAAGCCCATATTTCAACGTAAGGCTTGGTTTAGGTATCATAAACAACTCTATGTTCACAAAATGCTCTATGTTTCCACTCACCACCTGAACTGAGGAATCCTTATCGCAATAAGCATTCACAAAAACATTTATCTAGGTGCTTGAATGAAATTAATTGATTGAAGTTTATGGAGTGATATATATATTTCCAAGCACCGTGTTATACTATTTCATTCTGCAGCCTAGTTTACTTCTTATATTCTGTAATTCTCTTGTTACGTCCCTTCTGGGGTCTAAAAAGTCTGTTTATGTTTGGTGTTACATTGGATTTATTTATTTATTTGAGCGGTGCAATTGACTTCTTACATTTCCAGATAACGGAGGAGTTTGAAGAAATTCCAGTACAAAGTCGTGGATTTGGCATTCTTGATGTGGGGTATCGTTCTAAGGTAACATTTCAGTCATTATAAATGGTGGTAATATGTTCCTAATTTGTTGTCATTGAGTGACAGAAGGCCTCTCCTATGGCAATGATCTAGGTTCGTCTTCTTTGACATGAATATGTTTAATTGTATGAAATAGGCTGATCTCTGCTGGGTGGGTGATGAAGAGGGAGACCAAGTACCCCCAATAGGTGTATCACCATATGATATGTGTCACACAACATATAATGCATCATCATATGCCATGTGTCAAACAAGTAGATAAATCAACAAGCTTGCCTATTCACCCATATGCTACCTTTTCCCTACATATGTACTTGCATATGACTGCATGTCCATCTCATTGATATATTAAAGGAATAGCATGCACCATGCATACCTGTTGAAAATTACTAGTGTAAATGTATTGATGTTCATAACAGAAAGGTTTATGAATAAATATATTCATAAATTTGTGCAAATTGTATGCATGAGATGAATCTGCCACTTGTTCTTTGATTGCATTATAAATACGAGAAATACCCTTTCCAGTATTTCTTACTTATACATTAGTTTTGATTATTATTATTATTATTATTTTTAAAATTTTTTTTGCTCCATTCCTTTTGACATAAAGCGTTTTTGAAAAGTATATTTCTCACTTTCATGTGGTTGGTATTATTAGATTTTTCTATATAGAAAATAGTTATGTAATATGAAGAAGTAGAAATATATAAAAAGAAGAGAAAAGAGAGAATTGCGTAAAGGCTTGAATGAAAAATAATTTACTCATTCACAGCTCTAGTATTTGTAGATAAAATGAGCACATGCTCATATTACAAGAAAGGAAACTAAATCAAATCAAAATCAAATCATAACTTATTCTAAAGCATATTCTATGGTATATTCTATAGCATAGTCAAATTTCTACTATTATGGTAAGTCATACCATAAATTGTGGTATCATATATATGCTATTATATGCATAGTCAAATCTCTGCTATTATGGTAAGTTATACCATAAATCGTGGTATCATAAATGCTAACACTTCCCCTCAAGTTGGTGCGTGGATATCTAAAACGCCCAACTTGGACAATGCATTCTCAAACACAATCTTGCTGACGCCCTTTGTAAGAATGTCTGCAAGCTGCTGAGAGCTTGTGACAAATGGAGTGCAAATTTGACCAGAGATGATCTTCTTTCGAATGAACTGACGGTCCACCTCTATATGCTTAGTCCTGTCATGCTGAACGGGATTTGCTGCTATGCTAATGGCAGACTTGTTGTCACAATAGAGTGAGAATGGAAGCGACACTGGAAGGCACAAGTCTGTCATCAAGGTTTTCAGCTAAAGCGACTCACCTACCCCAAGAGCCATAGCCCTATACTCTGCCTTTGCACTAGATCGAGAGACAACATCTTGCTTCTTACTGCGCCAAGTAACCAAGTTACCACCAATAGTGGTACAATAACCTGAAGTAGACCTCCTATCTGAAATTGATCCTACATAATCAGCATCTGTCCAAGCCTCAACACGTAAGTGACCATGATTAGCAAACAAAATACCACGGCCTGGACACCCTTTTAAGTAGCAAAGAATCCGAATAGCTGCATCAAGGTGTGGGGCACGAGGAGAGTGCATGAATTGACCCACGACACTCACGGCATAAGTAATGTCAGGTCGAGTCATGGATAAATAGATGAGCTTCCCCACAAGTCGTTGATACTGACCAATATCTGACAACAACTCCCCCTCAGAATCAGCCAACCAATGATTCTGCTCAATCGGAGTATCAGCAGGACGAGCGCTAAGCTGACCAGAAGCAGAAAGTAAGTCAAGAACATACTTGCGTTGAGAGATGAAAATGCCAGTCTTGGAGCGAGCCACCTCAATGCCCAAGAAGTACCGTAGGGGACCAAGATCCTTAATCTCAAACTGACGGCCAAGATAGCTCTTAACCTCATTAATTCCGATAGTATCATCGCCGGTAAGAATAATATCATCGACATACACAATGAGAGCAACTGTCTCACCGCCTGAATGACGTAAAAACAAGGTATGATCAGCTGCACTTTGATGGGAACCAAACTTGAGCATAGCAGTGCCAAAAGCGATTAGACCAAGCTCGAGGAGACTGCTTGAGGCCATATAGAGAACGACGAAGACGACATACCAGACCAAAATTCGTGCATTATTCTGCCTCTGAGAATAAGTGCGTTTAACTGAATCCTAAATCTGCTTAGCAATCTTCATAAACATATAGCCAACAGCTATGTTTGGTTGCATCGAATTGACTAGCCAAGACATAACCATAGGATTATCTGCAAATCACTGTGGATATGCCTTCTCTGACTCAGCTGGCTCTTTCTTAGAACCAGTAATATAGCAAATCTTGCCTTTGCCACCAATGAACATCTTGACAGACTGTGCCCAAATCAAATAGTTGGAACCATCCAACTTTACTGTGGTGATTTGAAGTCCTGGATTTTCTGATGAGTTAGTGGGAAAAATGGCACCACCACCCACAGAACGTGAGCCAAGAGAATTAACAGTCGAGGACCCTGAATCTGCTATAATCTGTCACACGACAATAAAAAGAACTCCAAAAACACCACAAATTCTGTTAATAAATCAAAGGGTCTCCTTAGACCATAAACAATGTCTCCTCAGACCATTCCAGAAAAATCCAAATACATACCTTTTTGAAGGAGCACTGCCCGCTTACATATAGCCAGACAGCCTCCTTCTTAATATTCGGAACCTCTTTGTAAACTAATTTATTTTTTACCCAAGCTCTTCTAGGTGTTGGAAACCAACTATCCTAATTTATCCAACCCTAGAAGAGTGAAAAAGAAATTGTAAAACTTAAAAATACCTGTTTTCGATCACAAAACAGCAACACAGAAAAACATGTGTCGGCAACGTCACACAATGCCACAAACAGCCTAAGGTAGCTGTCGCATAAGTAGCAAGGCTGCTGAAAGGTGTGGAAAGGTGTTTGCTCTGATACCAAGTAGAAATATATAAAAAGAAGAGAAAAGAGAGAATTGCGTAAAGGCTTGAATAAAAAATAATTTACTCATTCACAGCTCTAGAATTTATAAATAAAATGAGCACATGCTCATATTGCAAGAAAGGAAACTAAATCAAATCAAAATCAAATCATAACTTATTTTAAAGCATATTCTATAGCATAGTCAAATCTCTGCTATTATGGTAAGTCATACCATAAATCGTGGTATCATATATATGCTATTATATGCATAGTCAAATCTCTGCTATTATGGTAAGTTATACCATAAATCGTGGTATCATAAATGCTAACAGAAAATAAATTTTCAGAGGAATCCAGCAAAAATGGGAAAGAAGTACAGAACACGTAGGGTAGCTTAAAACACAAGCAATGAACAAACATGTATATAGGTGCACATCAGTACACACCTGTATAAAAGCATATACATGTGTCAACTGAAATCTATATGTGCTGTTATGGATGTGTATATATTTGTATATATACGTGTACAAATAAAGCTTAAGAGATGGTACATACTGAAGTGTTAGGGTTGCTGGGATGGCATCCACAAGTCCAAAAGGTGTCTGGTTGAAATGGTTTCTTGTTACCAAAAAGAAAAAATAAATAAAAATAAAGAGATGGCACATACTAGGACATAGGGAAGTAGGAAGAGAGACTGGTGGTCGTGGCCTAGTTCCAGCAAGTCATTTTGCTAGCAACGAGAGTCCCGTTTTGGCTGGTGGTCGTGGCCTAGTTCCAGCAAGTCACTTTGCTAGCAACGAGAGTCCCGTTTTGGTTGGTGGATCTTTTTTTTTTTTTTTTTAACGCCATATTCACAAATTAATTGAAAACAATTAACATAGAAAGGATTGTCGACTTTAAAATATAATCAAATCAAGAGTAAGTGATAAAGAAGAAGAAAGCGAATGAGAGAAAAAGAGAGAGAGATGGGGAAAGAGAGAAAGAATGAAAAAATACTTTTATCCTTCCACCACCTACTATTTATAATAACAAGTTTTAGAAATTACACATAAGCGCTAACATTAGATAAGTAATAACAAATCTGACAACACTCTCCCTCAACTTGGTGTAAAGATATCTATCATGCCCTGCTTGACTAACATATTTTGCAAGCAAGTCTTGCTCACACCCTTAGTCAAAACATCAGCAACCTGATCATGTGTGTGTTTTTTTTTTTTTTTCCTAGTTGGGATTCACACACACTGCCTCCACTGAGGTTCGAACCCTTGACCTTTCGTTGGAAAGTAGGAGCTTTATACCGCTAGGCCAAATGTCTATTGGTCATGTGTGTTGACGTATGGAGTACAAATCACGCCAAGACGAAGCTTTTCCTTGATGAAGTGTTGATCGACTTCAATGTGCTTTGTCCTATCACGTTGAACTAGATTGTGGGCAATGCTTATAGCAACCTTGTTGTCGTAATACAACTTCATTGACTCGCGAACAGGATAACCTAACTCACCCAACATCATATGTAGCCATAACAGCTCACAAACTCCATTTGCCATGGATCTGAACTCAGCCTCTGCACTAGATCTAGTTACTATGGATAGTTTCTTGCTTCGCCATGAAACAAGATTACCTCTAACAAATGTGTAATATCCTGAAGTAAATCGTCGATCTGTCACAGACCCTGCCTAATCAGCATCAGTATAGGCTTTAACACGCAAGTGGCCATGACTGCCAAACAATATCCCCTTACTAGGTGAACCCTTGAGGTAATGAAGAACATGATGAGCTGCCTCAAGGTTAGGTGTATGTGGAGCATGCGTAAAATGACTGATCACACTAATAGCGTAGGCAATGTTCAGGCGCGTGAGAGATAAGTAAATCAGTCTCCCAACCAATTGCTAAAATCTTCCCACTTCATCTAATGGGTCTCTATCTACATCATTAAGCCTATGGTTTTGCTCAATGGGAATATCAATAGGTCTAGCTCCAAGCCTGCCTGTTTCAACCATCAAATCTAACACATACTTTCGTTGAGAAAT